TATTCCCGACACTCACAAAGTAATCAATGAATTTATCTGCAAGTTCACTACCGGAAAAAATTTCATTGTTTATAGTCATGTTAACGGTAGCTTTATCTTTAGATTCGCTACGCAGAAGAGAATGCAGTTGCTTCCAGACAATATCGGGCTGCCTTAAACAGGATGAGTCAAATTTAGCCGCGTAATAAAGCTGTCTAGTTTGTCTTAATTGGACGTAAACAAAGTTTCTGAACTTTTTGAATTCACGTAATTTTTCTTCGTCTCGTATTTTCATAAAAGAGTCATAAAGTACGTTTTTCTTTTTAATGAGTTTCAAAAGGTGACCATTTACGCACGGCTTCCTAGCTTTTTTCTTGGGACGGATGCATTTGATTGGGAATGAAGTGGAGTAAGCATTTTTGAAAGTATTTATAAAAAAATTGTAGCACTCATCAGCATCTGTAGAATTAAACATAGGGCTCCAGTCTATAGTGCTGATTGTTTCTCTAAATTCTTCCAGTGTCCTAGAACTTATGTCTTTTGACATTTTTGAAAAGTTTGGAACTGCGCTATCTGATATATTCTTATAGATAAACATGATTATTGGAAGGTGATCGCTGATTCCATTACTAAGCACATTAGCACTGATATTAGTTTCATCATGATTAGTTAGAAATAGATCAAGCAATGTCGACGTTGTGCATGTGACGCGTGTTGGAGGAATAATTACATTCGAAATATTGTTTGAAGTCAATAAACCAACAAAATCATCTTTAAGATGAGAATCTTTTATTTATTTATTTATTATTTATTCATTTAACCTAAGGGCCCTTTCGGGCATTACATAGGGGGAATTCATACGAAAGGAACACGTTGACAGTAGTGATACACAGAAAACAGGAAAAAAAAAAGAAAAGAAAAGAATGCCGCGGCACACAAAAAAGCAGTACATATAATAACAAAGTTCAATGGCTGCACCTCAATGGTAACATTATACAAATACAGAAAGAAAACCAAGGACACACTGCAGAACACACTGCAGAATATTTATATTAAAATCACCACCCAGAAAAAAGAGGCACCTCTCTTGATTAGCGAAACAAAACGCTTCTAAAAACTGCATGAAACTCGATACATTACCATTTGGAGGACGATATAGAACAGAGTAATTTTGATTTCCTTTTTTAACACAAAGTATCTCATAATTTCGGGTCACAATAGAATAATTACTGAGTATTTCAAAACCAAGGGCACGAGTTTGCAATGAAACGCCACCAACGCGACTATGACTGCGGTTTAAAAAGAAATGAGTGTAGCCTGGAAGAACACAAAAAAAAATTATCATCATCCCTATACCACGTTTCAGTCATCATGACCACATCAAGAGAAGTTTGGATTGAGGCAAAAAACAATGAAAGATCATCTTTTAATCTGGCGGATTGCACATTTAATTGAAATGAACTCAACGATCTAGTTGTCTGTTTCTGTGCGAAGGTATTTAGACACTCAACCGTCAGAACACCTAGATTTTGAACCATGGTAGTAAAAAGGGAAGAGTAAAAGAAGACACGTCAGCTGTATTTAGCGGATCTTGTCAAGATCTCCAGAGTCAGAAATAGTAATGACGGGGGTCCCGTCCGCCTTCCTTGGAAATATTTTAGAGTTACGTATCCAAACGTATCGCCACTGGTGCTCACGCTTCTTTGAGACCGCCATTCCTAGCAGCTTTTTCAGGGCGGGGCACAAGTGTTCATTTATGGTATATTCAGCTGGTCGCTTTTCAGCCTCTTGGAGCGCTCTGAAAAGCCGGTGTGCATTCGGCTAGTCGATGGCGGGCGCTCCAAGTATATTCGGCGGGTTCTTTCGGAGCGCTCTCGCTGCGCCGACTCTCGCCGTCCTTCGAATCGGAGCGGTTTGAGGCGCTCTGACTTGGAAGTGGGAGCGGGCGAGAGATCTGGCTGCCGACCGGTCACGTGACTCCAGCCATTCCGCCATTTTGCTTTTGTGTCGGAAGCGGACGGCGAGAGCGCAGCTACTCCACAGAAAAAGGTCTGCGAAAAACATCTGTCAGTCTCGACACCGTCACCGCTGTGTTGTGATCCCCGAATGGAGGTGAAATGTCGTCGAAACGAAGACGTTTAATGTTAGGGGTGGCACCGTCAGTGCTGCTGGCGAAGCTAGCAGACAGCGACAACACCAGCAGCTCGGACGATGACGACGAGGGACGCGTTTACGAAGCGAAGTTTGCCGAGTAGTTTGACGCACCTTGTACGGTGCCCAAGGTCAAGGCCTATGTTTCTACAGTGCGAACCTACTCGGACAAAGCGGTAAGAACAGAACTACGAGATTTTTCAAGCTGTAATGTTGCCTTTTGTGATAGTTTCGCAGGAACTTCCGCTTGACACGACTGGCTTGCGATGACCTTATCAGCGTCCGCGTTGACGGCTGCCATTTTTTAAGGATTGACGGATGGATGGATGACTGAATACCAGAGCCGTGTATACAGAGAGTTTGGTCAATGGGAGGCGCGGGCAGAGCCAGGGCGTGCGGCAGACTCGGAAAGAGGGCTTGGCATGCTCTCTTGACCAACGAGAAGCCGAAAAGAATCCCCTAGCGGTGGTAGCGAGAAACAGTTCTGAACCGATCGATCATCGAAGGTCTCTGTTCGTATATGATTTTAATAAATGCGTAAGAGTGAAGTGTAGTAACTCTTTGTGGTTGAAAATAGGGTGCACGTGTTGTTTCATCATGATCATGCAGAAAGATGTAAGAAACGAATGCGCCGCTCAACTCTGTTTTGCGCGGACAGAGTGTGACCGCTCTGACGGCAGATTCCCGGCGCTCGGCGTTTGGCGTAAGGATTATGTCGACCTTTCCGCTAGTCGCACTCTTCCACCATCATTTTAGATGAGTGTGATTGAAACATCACGTGTACCATATTTTCAGCCATCGAGAGTTACTCCAATGCAGTTATCAGGTTTGTTTCTCGCGACCACCGCCAGGGTATTATTTCCGGCTTCTGGTAGGTCACATTCGAATTTCTGAAGACGCCCTGGAACACGCCTAGCCCGCTTTCGGCCAATGGCGTCGCTTCATTTGTCTCCTATACTTCCCAACGAATGGCCAAACTCTCTACATATACGGCTCTGCTGAATACTGCTGAACCCTTTGAATCCGAGAAACAAAAGTTCCGCTAGAGGGCGGCTAGCGCCGTCCTCTAGTGGCGCCGGCCACCCTCTATCCGCTCGGCTTGCCGCTCCGAAACGTTGAGGAGCGTTCGGCTAGGCGCGCCAATTCTCTCGCTCCGATGCGGAGGCGCTCCGGGATCTGGTGGCTCCGACTCGGATGATGGGAGCGCTCGAAAGTGACCGCCGAATGTACCATAATTGTTTCAGGCAGTCCGAAATCTTGGCAAAGCAATTCTTTTTTTCTTTGCCTTATTGAGAACAGAGTCTCGTTTTTGTCGCCGCTGAAATTGCACTATCACGTTGCTCTTTGTCGTATCTCGCGTGGGAACACGATGACAGGCTTCAATATCAGAAAGGTCGATCTGCTCTCCGATGAGGTCACCAAGTTTAAATACCAGATCATTCACGTTATCAGTTTCAGTTTTAGGTATTCCTTTTACCTCGATGTTGTAGCGTCGCGAATACTGCTCGCACTGAACAAGTCTAAGTTCATTTCCTTTCAGTAGCCCGGCCATCATGACACATTTTTGCGTGAGTTCAGCATTTTCTTTTTTGAAAACGGCGTTCTCACTTATGACAGACTGGAGCTTCAGCTTAATTTCCTCGAACTCCTTGTTCATGAAATTCATCCCATCGCTTATGCTTTTTAGCTCAGTGCTTATCTCACGGAGATCGGTTCTGAAATCTCTCTATAGGGTCTCTTTCATTGACCTAAACTCTTTCTTTAGCTCATCTTTTAGTTCATTTACCAACTTAGTCATATCCTTAGGCATTTCAAAACACACAATAAAAATACAATTGAGAACACGGAAAGGCAGCAGCAGCAGCAGCAGCAGTTATACACATAAATAAGAAAAAAGATACGGTAACCAACCTGCGGTAAATACAGGAGACAATTAGATGATGCGTTATGCCACTGCCGCTGCTGCCAAGTGAAGCGCCGTTGCTGGTGTTCCGAGCTTTTGTAGTCTTCCGCTGGAGACGTGGAATGTAGATGAACCAATCGGACAGGTAGTCATCAGCTGTGAGGCCGCGACTGATACGCGGGCGCGGGAAGGCTTGTATCTTTTTGTGCCAGCAACGATGTTTCAGCACATTGCAGATGAGTTCGGCAGTTACTTCGGTTTTATCGCTCGCCGGGCAACGTCCTGAACTCTGTCTCGAAGACGCGCAGCCTCAGTCGACTATACTTCGTTTCAGCTTCGGTCCGAGCGCGACCGATGTTATGAGCCGAAAGGCCAATCAAACAGCGCAAAAAGCGCAGCGTCATGGCGTGCTCTCTGTGCCTGATAGAACTAGCCCGCGGAGGAGCGCGCACAGAGAGACGGCGAATACCGGCTAGTCCTATCAACTGCAGAGAGCACGCCATAACGTTGGGCCTCTTTCGTTGTTTGATTGGCCCTTCGGCTCATAACATCGGCCGCGCTCGGACCGAAGCTGAAACGAAGTATCGAACCATGACGACGGCCGCTGCGTCGGGGGTCTGGAAACCCTCGGTCGGTCCCGGGGTCATTGTCGCCTTTGTTGCTAGGAAGGGTCGAGGCCTGGGCCCTGACGCTGGAGGCGGTTACGTCATGAGTCGAAGCTTTCGCATGTGGCGGCTCGGGAGAGCAGAATCTTCGTCGCTATCGCGGAACTACGACAGCAGCCACCAGCACCATTACCGCTCCCCGTAGGAGACGTTCGGCCAGCTCTGGCTATTCTTTGGCAGTCATGTCTGACGTATAATTTTTTCGCTAAAGGTTTAGTATAAAAGTTAGAAATATACTTTGATTGGCGTTTTTCTGGATATATATATATATAGAAAAATAATCTTTAGCGTTCTTATTTCAGCCGGACCTTCTTCTCCGCATCTGCTCGCTGTATCGATTCCTGTAACATCCTCACCCTGTCTCGGAATATTCGACGAAAAGATCATGTTCTGCGCCGGAAGCCCCGGGAAGGACTCGTGCCCTGTAAGTGACGTCAGGCAGGTTCAGGCTTGGCTCGGGGAATTCCAGTAGTATGAAGTTCCCGAAGCACCCTTGGATAAATACAAAACTCCCAAGTGAGGACTACGACGGTTTGCCACGCAAATAAATGACGGGCTACATAGCGGCATGTCTAACTGCAAGGAAGCACATTTCGTTGATTCAAGGTTAATCTTTAGACAAGGTTTTAAATGTAATGATACCATTTTATGTCACATGTTAGTCAGAAATTGGCTTGGACATTTCGGTCATAATATTCGGAGGCTGACCCAAATGGATTTGGGAACTGCCTGTACGCAGAGAATATTTTTATAAAATGCCACATGAACCTATAATATATGATAGCTTAGATAGGGCATATCTCAGAAAATACTGGTCCGGTTTTCGCTCTTTGTCCCACAAATTAATATCGTGATTAAAACTTCACGGAAGATGGCAGCAGTTTATGTAGGCCAGCCACTTAGTTGGTAGATTTTGCTTGTCATTACTTTGTTTGAGTACCATGCAAACAAAGCGCCGATGTTGCGTTTGCATATAGAATGACTCCGGAGGTCCAGTCATGCAGGAGGACAGCGGTTCAACCATCCTCGTCGGCGTGGTCTCGGGCGGTGGGCCCTGTGGCGTGAATCCGGGTTTCAACGTCAGGGTTTCGGCCTTCACTGAATGGATTTCGGAGAACATGGTCAAGCTGCAGTCGTGACCGAAAACTTCGTCTCCAAGAAAGGGGAACACATATTCCTAAATGTATGGCTGAAAATAAATCGATGAGAAGTTCAAAAGCTGCTGCGTAAATTATCCGTGGCCACCTTATCTTGGATGTCATATTGAGCATGCAATGCACACATGTACTGCGTCAGCGCTCGGCGTTACCTCGGGCCAAACCACATGCTTCGCGCACGAAGCGGGGCCCAAAATATGGCCAGCGCCAGTGTTGATTGATGGACTTCTGAAAAGGGTATATTATTTAATTGTGCTTTATGTATTCCCTGTGCAGAATCCTAAGGTCGTAGATAACACACAGCGTTGAAACGCGTCTAGTCGGGTGCGCTCGCATATTTGCGAGCGCAGCCGACTAGACGCAGAGAAAAGTAACTAGGTGTAAAACTAACTCCATTCGCGGCATTTTTTATTGTTGTCCTTTATAGTGTGCCGTTATTGGTGAAGGACCCACCAGCTCCAAAACGTTACAGGTCGCTTTAGTTGAGGCACGGCTTCAAGCATCGCCCGTGTTTTAGAGCTTTATGTTCGTATTAAACATAAAATAGCCCTACCTCTAGACACAACTTGCAAGTCGTTTTTTTTCTTAATTTCAATAAGCGAGCAATGATGCTTGTCACTTCTTTTACAATAAAGCTGTAAACACTATTTCCACGTGTCACTCTGAGTTGGAGCTCAGATAAGCGAAAAAGGGTCACGAGCAAAGAGCGATCAATGTCATCACTTCACCTATTGAAGTGAGAGGTCTGAACCCTACGAGCCTGGATGTCACCTTGTTTTTCGCTGATCTTCTAAAACTTTTCAGTACAATTTGGAACCGCATAGCGTGTTCTTGTATGGAAAGTTGTCGAATCCTCACTTACAGCCTCGAGTGAGTCCCCTTTCCACCACCATTCGAGGGCGTGCGGTGCCCTTTTAAGTTGGAGGCACGTGTTTGCCTCATTAAACACTAATATTACATCTTTATGTGCCAATATTTTTGTTTTGTTCCTGACAATATTGCTTTATGTTTTCTGAGCACTGTCGCGATTTTATTGTCTTACGAAGGATCTCACTATACAGACTCAACATCCCTACGTTGCACGGTCCTTAAATAGTAGAGGCCATGGACAACGAAGTGCTGGGCGCATTTGATAAATTCCAAAAATAGTTGCAAACGAATGCGACCTAGTAACTGTGAAACCAGGTTGTATCTAAAAAGAAAATCATTGTTTTAAGCTAAACAAGCTGTACTTTTGATATTCCACCAAAGCACAGCTCATTGCATATTGGTTGTTCCACAAACTCATCGTCTTTGAAGGGTTGCATCTCTGACCAGCAAGAAATGTCAGCGAAAAGTATAGGATCACCTCGCAAGTGTTTGCAGGGTGTTCACCTCTTTTCCTCTAGTAGCAACGAATCTGCGCGCATTCACTTGCCCGGTGCCGTTTTATGTGACGTATGCGAGTCGTCCACTTTGTGACCCTTGTGTCGATACATAAAAACAGAAAGGCAGCAAAGGAAAGTAGTATTATAGGAGCAATATATAAAAGAGGAACAATAAATAAGTTATTCGTTGAGTTTGATTTTTTCGTGTTCATGTCGAAGCTCACCGTTATTGTTTATTCGAGTGCTCAGTGTAATTTTGAGTGTGTGCACCAATATGACAAGCGGGCAAAAAAAAATTGGTTTGGGTTCACGGCTATTCATTAACAGATTATTTTCCTTCTTTTACCGCCCAGGTACAATCAGAAAGGTGTTTCCTGGAGTGAATTTTATTCTCGATGTCTGCTAGAAGTTTACCGCTAGACCTGCTCAGTACTCGTGGCATTCAAGTCGGCGATCTGCAGGACCGCCTGAATCGCCCATAAATGGTGGGCAAATGAATGGCAGGGGGCCTGCGTTTTCTCCTACGATTTTCTGCACACTTTTTGTTAGATCACGCGAAGGTTCCCAAACACTTTGCTTGGAAGCCCACGGAGTCCCAGTTGGCGGATTCCAATCCCGGTCAAGGTGCTCCTCATCTTACAAAGATTTGTTTTTCGGAGAAGGTTACGGGAGAAGGAAAAGGTAAACGAGCTTTCGGCTTCAGATCAAATGATCCTTACCCAAGTGACCGGAATTATACGACAGTCCGTCGTTTGGACGCGTCAAATGTCCTTCGTTATTGGCACATAAGACCCTTAAATTCTACTTTTCAGCCGTGTTTTGACAATCACTTCCTTGCACGAGTGACGGCGTGGGATAACCTGTATCTTTGACATTAACCATGCAGTGCTATCCTTCAAAATGCACGACGGCACAATAGCAAGTTGAAACAAGCGGGCATGAGAATGCGTACAGTTTGAATTCGTAGCGTAAATTCTTTCCGGTTACCGGCGCCATTCAGCTCTATGTTATATAAGAGGACCATCTGACGCCTATAACATTTTAATGTGATAACGCTCTAACGTTCTGCAACCGGTTACAACTTTCGAATGCTATAACGGTTTGTACTGAAAGTTTCGCATCTCGTCCTTACTGCTAGGACTACATTGGGGCGGAGAATGATCACTCGGTGATGCGTAGTTTATATTTGCCACGAAAAAAACCCTGTTATTTTTTTTTAACCTATAGCACTGTTAGAACACTCACCGACACTATTAAAACAGGACATCGGCGATTTTTTTGCGTTTTACTTTAAAAACGTACTGGCGGACACCTCTGTTTATTAGGTGAGTTCACCAGTCGAGCACCTCAAACCACGGTAATTGTTTTGAGGACCGCTTTTTGAGTCTAACAGAAAAAGTAAATATATAAACGGCGATCGCAAGTCGCTTTTACTGTGTCAAGCAGCGTACATTGAATGACGGATATTTGTTATGTAGAAAGAAAGGCGAACATGTTTAAGCGTAAGGACTTGCGTGTTTTCTTGTTTTTTTTCTTTTTTTTTGCACTGAATTTTGTTAAAAAACTCTTGGCAGCATACTAACCATGTGCATGACTTGTTCATATTTTTTTTTGAAGTGACGAATGTAGGCTCATGTTTGCTCCTCTATCGTAACGCTATTTAGGTTTTAGCGAATAAAAGAAACATAAAGTGTTGTTTTGGAAAAATATGACTACTCAAAATTTCACAAAAACATACAATCGTGCACACAGTCTACCGGCAGGTTTGTTTAAAGCGTCTAAATAATTCATATACTTCAGGGTTAGCTTTCCTCAAACATAAATGAAAGCGGCAAAAGTACAAGAAAGGGAGTTTGACACCACACGAGCACAGGGATATTTAAAATAATTTGCCGTGTGTGACCTTCACGTCGTCTGATTCATCAGTGTCGAAATGTGCGTTACAAGAAGGAAAATAAAAGCCTATTTGTTGAAACTAAGAGACGCGCCCTGATTGTTGTTAAAATATCTTTTATGATTATAATATTGAGCAACCTTAGGGGTATTTTCTATATAGACAGCGACTCATCACGAAGCCAAATCTACTGAATTCCATTGAATTTTATTGAAATGGTTTTTGTGCACTTTATCAAGAATTTTGTCGAAGGTTGTCAGCAGAGAGATCGATCACACGTCCGAAGAGCGTTAAGTGCCAACAAAGAATACCCGAAACCGCGTCCGCTCTTATTTTCTCTCTCTTCGTTTCTGTCTTTTTCCTGGCGGGCACAGCATGAACCAGTCGGAAGATACACGCTGAAAGAAAAGTGCAGACCTACCAAACCAGTTTGTAACTTGTTTGCCACGATCCCCTGAGTGGTTTTGATCTAACCGGGGGCCGGTCTGGCTTTATCGCTAAGCGATAGGTATGGTTGAACGGGTACCGCGGTATGAAACCATTCAAACTTTCAAACAGGTTTACTGTTTTTTTTAATGCTTGAATCTAATTTACATAATTCTAGAAAGGTTCCCTCAGGACCGGATTGCAAATGGCCATGAAGCTGGGCGTGCAGAGTTTCCGTCGATGGTACATTATCTAATGGAGGATCACACAATATTTTCCTTTGAAGACGCGATATGTAACAAAAATAATCAACGTAAATAAACATGTAAATATCTGGAAAAAAATGTGCGGCGAATTGAAGAAGAAAAAAGGACAGCGGCGTGCAGTGTTCTGAAACTTCCCACGCTCGTTCATTTTTTCTGTATTATCTTTCGTTTTGGGGTTATTTTGTGATCTACTACTAGTCTTTAAAAATGAGACTGAAGGGTCGAATTATGCCTTGGAAAGTGTGGAACCTCGAACAATATGTAGAAAGTTTTGGTACGCTTCTTATATATATAAAAAAAACATCAAATAAATAAATAATTTCGGCATTATAACTTAATCGGCCACGGAGGAAGTCGCCACCAGATTGTTTACATTAATTAGAGTTGCTGACAGCTGAATAAACACTCGGCAAGACAGGTTTGGAGAATATCATTATCTCTCCGCAGCGAATAAGATAGGCGGCAGATTACATGAACCTATGAAAACACCAAAAAATGAATTACGTAAGAAGCAAGTGTGAACATTAGCTATGCCCTGCGCTTCTTAAACTGGCAGTGCCTATAGCAAATCAAATTCTGAAAATTATGTTACAGATTTTTAAATACTCGTTTTAGCAACCTCACTAAAATTACAAATTTGTACGCTATCATCAAAATAAATCCAACTTCTTATGTAAAAAAAATGGACTTTGCTTTGCATTATTATTGTCGAACTGAAGCGGTCAAGTGATCGAGATGCCGAAGCTAAGTTGGACAACAGGGACGAAAGGCCCGCCTACGAAGTTACGTTATTGGCCGCCAAAAGTGTTGGTGGCGAGGAATCGTGAGCCGGTCTGACAGATATTCAAGATATCTGGGTCATGTAACGTAATGACAGCGAAGCCATTTCTATTCTGAAGTATACTGAAAATGTAAGATGAAATTTTTTTTTTAGTTTTTTATCTGTTTCTTTTTTTTTTGCGACAGGTTAAATTCGCAACCGACTGGAGCAAAACAATATTAAAAAAATACAGTGCTTTTTTATGAAATAAAATTATTTTTAAGCCGGAAAAGCTAGACAAATACAGTTTCTGCAAGTAAGTTATACAGCCAGGCGGATAATATATTC